ATTGCTGCACCACATGTATGCCCAGCAGAAGTTGCTGCTGGTTTATTTCATAAGTTTGTGGTGAAATATTTTGGCTTGCCCGAAGATATTGTTAGTGATCGTGACACCAGATTTACGGGAAGGTTCTAGACAGTCCTATTTGGCTTGATGGGTTCTGAACTGAAGTTCTCCACAGCAAACCATCTTCAGACTAACGGACAGACTGAAAGGATGAATCAGTTATTGGAAGAATATTTGAGGCACCATGTCACTGCAAGTCAGAAAAATTGCCTGGAGTTGCTAGACACTGCACAATTCTCTTATAATTTGCACAGGTCTTCAGTAACAGGAATGAGTCTCTTTGAGTTGGCAATAACCTCGCACACCACAGGAGGTGTCAGTGCAGAGGACTGGTGGAAGATGCCCTACAGCATACTGATATGCCCGTTCCATGCAAGAGATGGTGGAGGAGGCATAGGACAGGCTTACCAAGGCTGCGAGAAGGATGAAAAAGTATGCAGATAAAGGGAGAAGGCCATTAGAGTTCCAAGTAGGAGACAAGGTTCTGTTGAAGTTGACTCCACAGATTTGGAAGAAGATAAGCAGCAAGACTATTCACAGAGGGCTGATTCAGAAGTATGATGGTCCATTTGAAGTTGTGAAGAAAGTGGGGAATGTTACTTACAGATTACAGTTACCTGAGAGACTGAAGGTCCATCCTACTTTTCATGTGAGTTTCCTCAAGCCTTTTCATGAAGACACTGCAGATACATCAAGACAGCAGGCTAAGAGAGCCCCACCTGTTATTCGGTTGCAGTTTAACAAGAAGGTGGAGAAGATTTTGTCTCACCGGACCCAGGGTCAGAGTAAGAAAAATCGCAGAACTGATTACTTAGTGCAGTGGAAAGGATGCAGTGAAGCAAAGGCGAGTTGGGAAAGGGATGTGATATTATGGCAGTTTGAGAAACAGGTAAGGGAGTACTTGGACAAGTCGACAAGGGCGTCGACTTCTTCTGGTGGGGGTGGTTTGTTAGCCCCTTAACGGTTGTCCAATGGAAGACATGGGCATTTCAAGGCCATGTCATGTCTTGGGAATACTTTGGCTTTGGTTAGACAGCCATGAGGATGCTCAGTGGGTTGTCAGCGTGCACAAGATGCTCAGCGTGCACACAAGATGCTTAAAAGGATGCTCGGCATGCACTGGGGGTGCCCAGTGGCACTTTCGTAAATATGGCGAAAAGTGAAACTTGGAGTTTTGACTCGGGATCTTTATGGGAGGTACCTTTAGTCCATAGAAGCTAGTTGGCGTAGACGGCACTCAATTTGGATGTCGGGAAAGGCCTGAAAGGCCATTATGACTCATCAAGCATGGGTGATGTTTACTCCTGTCAGAGTGCTGGATTTCCTTAAGACTATACTAGGGGGGTCTGTTGAGCACATTGGTTGGGCTATGGCATGGCTTGCTTAGAGGGCTTAGCCAACGTGCATGGGCACGTGTTGCACCACTCCAAGATGGTTGCACAAGTGGGGAGCATCCAAGATATTGAAGGGCAAACAAGTGGGCACTGACACGCGGGCTGGTGTCCAACCTAGTGTGCGTGAGCGTCTAGCTCAGCGTGCGCACGGGCGTCCAGGCGAGCATATAGCCACGGGCGCATGAGGGTTCAAACATGGCGCACGTAGAAGGGCACTAGTGTATGTGTCGGCTTGCACTGTGGCGTGCACCCGAGCGTGCGCATAGGCGTGCGCATGGGCGTGCATGGCTTGGCACGCCGTGCACTCAGAAATATATATATGTGGGTGCAGATTGGTGGACTTGGCTTGGACTAGGTTCACAAGGTTAACTCAGATGTGGCTAGAGCATAGACAACACAAAGTCATGACTTGCGGTTACAAGAGGTGGTGGCTTAGTGAGCTCGGTCGGTTGGGGGAAGTTACTAGCACTTCCCACTCATCATGGGAAGTGGGGGAGTGCTGAGTAACCTCCCAAGCATGTGGCACAATTCTGAGAGGATCAACACACAGGCGGTTAAGGGTGGTTTTTTCCACTATGCCGAATGTAACTTCTTGTTGTTATGTGGCATGAACAGAACATGCCAACAAATCTAGCAGTTGGGCTTGTCAACTGCATTATGGTGCTGGCACATTTAGAGGGTGCCAGCATGACCCTAGGTGGATGGGGGTATCATCCATCATCTTAGTGGGCAGTTATGGGCGGTTTTGAGAGTGGCCTATATAATGCTAAGGTGGGCTTTATAGAGGGAACAGAGAGGAGGGTGTGAGCCTTGGTTGTTCCTTGTACGAACTCATGTTCCTTTGTAATATGTTTAATATGAGCAAAGGTTAGGGCTTGTCCCTGTAAACTGTGAGTGCTTTCTTTACATTTCTATACTGTGTATTGTGTTGTTGTGTTGGCTGAGACTTGGTGGCCCCAAGTGCCATTACAGAGGAAAAAATTCGTAGTGTAATTTAGCCCTGTAACACCTAATATGCTGGATTTGGAAGCTTTTAGACTCAAAGGAGTCCGATGTATCTTATTCATTTTAATTTAAAAATTGAAAATCGGTATTATTATCAATTGAGATGTTCATTATTGATCGCCAATTAACACGTTGGGACCAGAGATTTGTCCTTATTTATTACAGTATTAATCAATTAAGAGTCTATGCTGGGCACTGCTAACTGAAATAACAAAAACTGAAGTAGTTCTGTCCCATTGCATAACTGTTATTGAAAAATAAAATTACGCTTTTAGACTCTAAAGAGTCTGATGGCTGGGATGTATCATTACTCACGAGAAGTATCTCATTTTTATTTAAAAATTGAAAGAAGTGGAAAATCGGCATTATTATTAAAGAAGTTGAAAATCGGTATTAACACTTTGGGACTAGCGATTTGTCCGTACTAATTACGAGTCTCTGTTGGGCATTGCAAATTGAAATCACGAAAACTGAAATAGTTTAGTCCTATTGCATAGTTGTTATTGAAAAATATTATTCTTTAATTTCTCTTATCTTAATTGGACTTTAGTTATATACTAGTATATGATTCATGAAAAACTTGACAGAGTGTAGCCAGATTTTTTTTTTTTTTTTTTTTTTTGAGCAATCTTTAATAGCAATAATATATATATAATTTATCCAATATATATATATATATAGATATATATATATATATATATATATATATGTAATTAAAATATTGATTCATAATATTTATATTGAGTACCTTCATAACTGCCCTAAGTTACAGAGCGGGAGCATATTCTTGATTATTTTGCATTCGCGAATTCATTTTCCTAATTTGCTATTTACATACTAATTAACTTTATATAGCTAAATTTATCAGAGTCTCACTCATATAGGAACACCTATATGACCATATATGTATTTATTACGTACACTATTACCTAATATATACATTAATTACTTAAATATTGGTGTGCCCCAGTTGTATGGCGTTGTTATACTACCATATATATATATTAATTATACGCAGGCGCACATATGATTTGTTGAAAAATAAGTTATAATTAATGTCTCTTTCCTATTTTTTTGTAATTATAAAACTTCAACTTTAAGGCCAAATTACTCTTTAAATTATTTCTTCTTTCTTTATACCTAATAACATTCCTTCTTTCCTTTGTTACATATATTTAACTTTTTTTTTTGAATGGATATATATGCTATACTTCATTCTTTACTTTTCTTTTTTTCTTTTTTTGTTCACTTGTCTTATATATATATATATATATGTTCCACCTTGATGGATTTTTTATTGGATTCTATGTAATTTAATTGAAATATCGTATGAGATTGAGTTTTAATTAAAGTAGTATTATAAAATTTGAGTTTTAGTTAATATATGAGATAGCAGAAGTATGGTTTCTCAATCTTATCACATTATGGTTAACTACTATATATATATATATATATATATATATATACAAAATGAAAGAATTGAAAAAAAAAAAAAAAAGAAAAAAAAAAAGGGAAAGAAACAATCAATTCACATAAAATAAAAAAAATTAAAAAAATAAAAAATCTCTTTTTCTTTATCTAAAGAAGAGGGAGAAACAGTCGAAGAAAAATAAAAAGAAAAAATATAAAATGATAAATTGGTCTTAAAAGTTGAAGTTTCATAACTTCAAAAACATTGAAAAGAAGCATTAATTACAACTTCTATAATTGAATTGTTTTTCAACCAATCATATATGGTAGTATAGCAACGAATGGAAATTGTAAATTAGGAAAATAAATTTACAAATTCGCCTGTGGAGCTTGAGAGCGGGGCCTCTTTGGACAAATTGTGTGACTTAGCAACTGCTTCTTAATAACTATTATGTCAGAATGTCAATCTACTAATAATAAAAATTCATTCATAACAAAAATAAAAAAAATAACATATAAAAAAAAAATATGAAAGATAAATAACCTTATAAGTTATAATTAGATAATCCAATCAATCGAAAATTTTGATAGAGTAAGTGAATCTATGATTTTATTGATTTGGGTTGCAAATAAAACAAATTATAAGTCTTATTTAGAAAATAATAATTAGTAACACAATTACATAAACTAAATTTTGAAAGAATATTAAGCCCTAAAATAATTTTGGTAGTAATAACTAATAATTTTTTTAATTAAAATTATAATATCAAATAATAATTGTAAATTTAGATGATAAAAATAATAAGATCATATTCCATAAAACTCAGTGAGAACTCCTCCTTAATAACTTCTTTATAGATATAAAATTTGAAATACAAGTAAACATTGACCTGTATAGAAACTCAGCTCTCTGATTCAGATTGAAAACTGCTTGAAGTCTTAACCTAATGAAAGTAAAAGAATACAAAATTTCCCTCACGTACCCTAGTACTCTTCCTTGTTTTCCTCGATCCAAACACTGCCCAACAAGGAAACAACCCAAACCTTTCCTCTATATAAACCCACCCCCGCCCTGCATGTCTCTCAATCTCAGACCCTCTGACGCCCAAAGAATCCTAGCAAGCTCCAACAATGGCGTCATCAAGAGCTCTCACCTCAGTCCAGTCTCTCGTGAAGCTACTCGCTCCACTTAATGTCTCTCCAGCTTCTCCAGCAGTTCTGGTTCGTTCCTTCGCCTCCTCCACTCCTCCAGAGAAACGCTCCTCCACTCCTCCTCCTCCTCCTCCTCCAGAATCCGACTACTACTATTCTGATGACCACTACCATGACTCCGACAACGACGATTCCGAGCAGGATACAGACCACTCTTCTGACTCCGACCACAACGATTCGTACTCTAAAGGTAAGAAAAACTGGTCATTCAGGTCTTTATCCGATTCCGAACAGTACTTTTGTTAGTGTTGAATTTGACTAATGATTTTTTTTTTTTATTGGGTTATTTCAGATTCTGATCTGGTGAATCCCTTTCTGGAAGAAGGGCCAGAGAGTCCCTTCACAGTGGTGAAAAGCGAAGAAGCCATGCATGCGAGGTTGGACATGCCAGGGATCAACAAGGAAGGGCTGAAAATGTGGGTTGAGGACGACTCTCTGTACGTCAAGGGATCGGAAGTGGTAGATGATCCTCAATCTCCATTGGCGATGAAGGATGGCCCGAGGAAGTACTCCGGCGACATTCATGTCCCTCAGAGCCACTACAAGGCGGAGGAGATCGATGCCGAGCTCAAGAACGGTGTGCTCAAGATCATGGTCCCAAAGGTCAAGAAACAAGTCATCAATGTGAAAGTCAAATGAGTTAGGTTTTAGTTCTAGTTTGGGTTTTCTTAATGTGGTTTGGTTATTTCTGGTAGAAGTCATCAATGTGAAAGTCGAATGAGTTAGGTTTTAGGTCTAGTTTGGGTTTTCTGCTTTGGTTATTTCAGGTTTTAGTTGTAGTTTGGGTTTTTTTTAATGTCTCTCGATCACTAGGTTTGGTTAGGTTGGGTTTTGAAGAGAATTTTATCTATTCGTATACAATGACGAAATATTTATATAATATGGTTGAATAATGGTTGAATAAAAGCTGAATTGTTTTTTGTTATTTTCTTTGTCTTATTTAATTGATGTCTTTGTATGCTAACATGGTAACATTTATTGCCAAAAAAAGTATGTACTTTTTAATTGGTATATCACAAGAATGGAGAAATTAATTTATTAAAAAAATGAGTAAAAATAAAATATCAACCTACTTACTATAAACTACTTGTACCGAAAAAACGAATATTAATGTAATTTTAGATTTTTTGTGATTAAACAAATATATATATATATATATATATATATATAGTAATTTTGAGAATTTTTTTTTTTTTTTTTCCCCCTAATGGAACAAGGATGTCAAATGCCATATAAGAAATTTTCAGGTCTTGAGATGGTCTAAAAAATTTGCAAATAAATGTGACGTGATAATTTTTAGCAAAAAAGCCCTGGCAAATTGAGCACTCATTTATTGGAGACAATTTGTCTAAATAACTTATTTTTTCTTTTTCTTTCCCGGAAGGTTAAACAATTTTATTGGATGAAGAAAAAGTACAAAAATCCAAATTACCAATAGAGTACAAATCCACATAAGTGGAGGAGGGCCAAAGCCCATTGCTAAACGACCGGGCAATTAGACACAGAGGCCCAATAACAAACAAACATATAACCAAAGTTACATTTGCAAATTTAACCAAAGTTAAGTTACATTTGCAAATTCAAATCCTTTTCTTTCACGTTATTCAGTGATTTTTTTTTTTTTTTAATCAAACTTTCTAATTATGTTTGTTTCCAGAGCCTACCTTAAATGTTTGTTCTCTTAACAACTTGAAATTAGAAAGAGGGCACCAATTTTAGGCCAGGCGAAGGCATTTCTTGATTAAAACAAAAAAAAAAAAAAAAATGGCAAAGTACAAAAAAACACCTTTCGACTTGTAACTTTTTTTAGTAAATTTTATTTATTTATTTATTAAAGAACCCTTTCGATTTGTAGTAATTTTTTTCCAATAAACTCCTTGTCTAATATTTTATCAAAGAATCCCACTCGACTATCTGAAAGGGGGTAAAAGAGTTGATATTTGAAACAAAATGCCCTTTTATTTAAATCTTAATTTTTTCGAACTTCAAAAATTCATATCCCACAAACCGTAAAATTATAAATAATATATGCATGAAAAGTGTTCCAGAAATATAAGATTTGTACAACATACCTTCATAACCAGATAGAAATAGGCAATCTAAAAATCTACTCTAATAATCTTATTTAATTTTTAAAAAATAAAATACTCTACATATTTGCAAGAAAATTTTCAAAATTATTCATTTACATATGGGGCCGAATATATAAAAAAATTTAGCCCCAACAGAAATCAATTTCATGAAATATCATATTTTGCGTTAAAGTATTTTCATTCTTTTATAGACTCACCATTTAAAAATAAATAAAAATGAATATTCGGTCTCTATTGGGACTAATTTTTATATGTTATACTCCATATGAAAATGAATAATTCTGAAAATTTTCTTGCAAATAACCCGAGTATATTATAAAAAATAAAATAAAATAAGATTATTGTAGTAGATTTTTATATTGTCTATTTCTCTCTGGTTATGAAATTTTGTTAAACAAATTTTATAATTCTGTAATCCTTGTTTTATAAGCTTTCTATACATATATTATTTGCAATATTTGGATGTACGGTTTATGAGATATTAATTTTTGAAGTGAAGAAAAATTTAGATTTAAATAAAATGATATTTTGGTCTAAAGATCAACTCTTTTAGTCCTTTAGATAGTTGAGGGGGGTTCTTTGGTAAAAAATTAGACAAGGGGATTTATTGGAAAGGGCTATAAGTGTAGAGTTCTTTGATAAAAAAATTAGACAAGGGGGTTTACTGGAAAAAAACTTACAAGTTGAGGGTTTTTTTTGTTTTTTTTGTTTTTTTTTTTGGTACTTTGCCCATAAAAGAAAACAAGTCTGTACTTTACCTATATTATATACAGTGTAGTGATCTCTGGCTCTTTGTGGAGTAAGAAAATTTAATTTATCCGCACTCTCTATAGAGATCATTAAGATCTAATCTAACTGTCATTATAAAAACTCACCTATATTCTTTCATTTTAATACAAAACCACCTCACTATTTCTAGTTTCCAAATTTAATATTTACCAATACCACTGATTATAACAATATAATTACCAAAAAAAAAAAAAAAAAAATTAGAAACCTCCTCATTTTTTAAAATAACGTCCATCTCAAATAAAGACTTACAAAAGTATTTTCTCTTCTTCCATACAAATTATATTTGCAAATTTTTTATCTCCCCTGTCTCCCTTTAATCTTTAAGTTTTGATTCTTACAAAACTGTCACAAATTATTCACTAAGTTCGTTTAACAAGTTCATAATAAGTCATAGTTCTAATCATACATACTTCAACCTATTCAGAGCAACAAAATTAAACTAATGACATATGATTCTTACAAAATTGTCACAAATTTGCTAATTTGATTTGTATAAAATCTAGAGCAAAAACTGCAATGTTTTATAATTTTTTATCTTTTTGCAATCTTTTTAAAAAAAATTTTTTTTGGTAATTTGATAGATCATTAGTTTTGATCATTATAACAATTAACAAATGCATATCAAAGTAATAGATGGATATTAATGATCAAAAATACAATCTGAAGTATCTTAATGGTTCTTATAGAGATACAATTTAAAATATAAAACAAATATATATAAATATATATGGTGGTTGAAACTTTAATTACCAACAAATATACTAGATTAAGATAAACTTAGAAGAATATTACAACTTTCTAAATAGTCAATTACTTTATATTTTAGGGGAAAAAAATTACCTTATATTTTAAAGTGAGTCATAGGCAGCCAAAATAGTCAATTACCTTATATTAAAAATTACCTTATATTTTAAAGTGAGTCCTATTATATTTGACACATGAGTTGCCACATAAAATCGGTGAAGTAGTAAATTTTTATTTGTTAGCCAAATAGTTGGACCCTGGTATCTGTAAATATTAAATTTAAAAACTAAATATAATAACAATGGTTTTGTATTAAAAGGAAATAATGTACGTGGATTTCTATAAAGACCTTTTAGATTAGATCTAATGGTCCCTCTAGAAAGTGCGGATGAATTTTCTTACACTACGGGAGTAAGAGATCACAGCAGTAGTTTTGCATTAAAAGGAAATGATGTACGTGAATATTTATAAAGACCTTTCAGATTAGATTTGATGGTCACTATAGAAAATGCGAATGAAATTTCTTGCTCTATGGGGAGTAAGAGATCACTACTCATTATATATATATATATATATATATATATATATATATATATATATTATAGTAGTGTTCAACTGCTCCTTGAAAGCAAAAAATTATATACTTACTTTTAATTGTAGCCTTAGAATCTAACTTTTCTTTTCTTTTCTTTATTTTAAGAAACTTACATTTTCTTTCCATGCTATTAAATTTAGTTAAAGAAAAATGACACTAGACAATTTATTAAAGGAAACAAGAATAAAATAATTTGGTTACTTTTTGCCAAATTCACAAGCGGCAACTGAGACGAAGTAAAATTAAGCTTACCATTAAACCAAAAAAAAAAAAATTAATCTAAAATTAAAAGTCATCATTTTTAGTTTCTTTCTACACTTTATCAATTCTATTGATAAATTATGGAAACATATACTAAATGATTTTAAATAAATAGAAACCATAATTCTCCATTAGAATACTTTAAGGATCTTGAAAAAACTTAAGACTTGCAATGATAGTATACATATTTTGGCATGCTTTTACAGTAACAACACTTTGAACATTTAATTTACCAAAAAACAAAAAAACTGAAAACATTTAGATGGATATATAATAATATATTAAGAGTTGTTTTGCATGACCTTTCTAAAAAATTTATGAAGCTAATAGTAGTCTCCTAATTATAAATTAGTTGCTGAACATATTCAAAATATTTTATTAAGCTGAGTATAAAACATGGATCAATCTTGAAATTTAAGTTTTGATTATAATCAATACTTCTCAGGCAATCTTTATTTAATGGCCATTTTATATATTTCTTTTGATTAATTTTATTTGGTTTCTGTTGCTACTTGCAAATTTGTTGAATAAAAGGTAGTGATGGGGAAGGGTTTTTTAACTGGATAGAGAAACGCAGGCAAAATAGTAGCCAAGTTATTTTATATTTTTGGTCATGGATTATTAGTTTTGGTTTTGTAAAATGAATTAGTTAATGTAAAATATTTAATTATCTCATATATTTTTCAAATACTAGAAGTTTTACTGATGTAGTGAATTTCAAGTAATGTAGGCAACAGGTGAAACAAACACCTTTTCTTTTAAATCTATTATTAAATACATATTAGGATTAAAATTCTGGACGTTTTAAATTACGGTCCTCCATTAGAGAGAAGTGGTGAAAGAAAAACAGGCATGAAGGAAATTGGGGGCCATTTGGAGATTCAGATTGAAAATTTTGTTTATGGAATAAATTTTTGTATAAGTGTAATAGTTCGAATTCGATATTTGTCATTTGATCTGTATATGAATTAAAATATTCAATTCGATATTCCGTTAGAGATTCTAATTTAATAATTCATTAGCTAAACAAATTAGATATGAATTACTATCCGATTTAGATAGGATACGTTAACTGGCCTAATTTTGTCCATGAAAAATGGTGTTTTAAGAGTTGTTGAGGTTTATGAATGGTGAACGATATGACGTTTGAGGGGTGTTTTGGTCTTAATGCTCAAGTTTGTTGGCATGTGAGTGTCACATGCCTCTAAACTGAAAAAAAAAAAATAATAACAAAAAAATAAATTTATGCAAGGGTACTTGATAACTTTTACTACGTATAATGCAAAGGTATATATATTGTTAAAATATTACGGAGTATACTACAGGGGTTTTGTGATCTTCAATCCCTTATTCTAAAAGCCCTTTAAAAAAATCAGACCTAAAGATTAAACTTGGACATCAATTTTGTTACCATCCTCATTGACAAAAACACTTTAATATTAGTGTATCTTATCTATTAGCATTAAGAGAGTTTTTGTTGAACACTATCAACTAGAATAGTATAAAAATAAAAAGATAATTTTGTTACTATTCTCATTGATAAAAACATTTTAAAATTAGTGTATCTTATCTATTAATATTAAGAATTTTTGTTGGACATTATCAACTAGAATAGTATAAAAATAAATAAAAAAAATTAAAATTATCGGCTTTGTAATTTATTATTATTTTATTTTTTTTCATTGATAAGAAACTCACACACTCTACACCACTTACACATCACTTTGCTCCTTTAGAGACTCGAATCCTTACAATCCACTAATTACAAATTTCTTAAAAAACAAAAATACAAATGAAATGAATGAAAGGAAAATAAATATTTGATTAGCATAAAAGATTTTGTAAAAAATTATGCAAAATTAGCTATTATAAAATAAAGGATATTATTATTATAAGTTCATAAGACATTTTTAAGAAATTAAAGTTGTTATGTGTTTTTTGAAAGAAAATTTTATGAGAAAATTATGTAGTTATGGAAAGGAATTTTGGCTCAAAATGTTTGTTTTCCAGCTAACCAAACTTTAAAATTATTAAAATGTATGTATTATATATAATATTTCCTTTCCTCTCTTTTCTTGTTATTTTTTTTTTTCTCCAACATTTTTTTTTATTATTTCATCCCACCAAAAGGAGCCCTAACGCTTTTTTTTTTTTACTATTAAATAAAAAATAATTTATGTACTCCCTTTATTTATGGGTTAAGGGCAAAAAAATTTAGTTTTTATAGAATTAACCCATACTTTTTGAAAATATGTATATTAATCTATAAAATTAAAAAAATGTGCATATAAACCTATCGGACTACTTTTTTATAAAAATAAAAAAAATAATAATAACCCTATTTTAGGCTTTTGATTCTCATTTTTTCCCCCTCACCCATATGTGCATTAAAAAAGCTTGTATTTGTTTTCCTAATTCCAGCTTCCTTCTCTACCTTATGTTGTAACTTGCTCTGAGTCAAGACTCTGGCATCACAGAAATAGACTTTCAATCAGCTAAGTTTCCAAGTCGACAGGGAAGCGAAAATCGACTAATAACTCTGGCGCATCACTACAACACACAATTAAATCTGAATCAAAAGCTTGTATTTATATATACACACAATTAAAAAAGGAAGAAAGAAAAACCCTAAACTTAAATCGTCAAAAAAGAAAACCTTAAACTTATGATTGATGACACAAACATAAAACAAAAACACAAAGCATGAATTAGCCACTCGAAACATCAGAAAATATATATGATAAATCTAAAATAAATAAATTTAGATAAAAAAGTAACAATCTATGTTCGTATATTTGACCTCATAGTATCCAATATTCAACTACAATAAATAGCAATTAATTGTAAATAATTTGTAAAAGGACATGAACTGAAGTTTACCGAGAGAGACGACGAGATCAGATGAGATTTAGGGTAATTTTCGACTCTTTAGAGAGAGAAAATCAGATATACTGTATATGAAATATATACTCCTATATAGAGATATATAGCAGTAGGATATTTACATTAGGAAGAATTCGGGTGTTGCCAGTTCCACATGTGCGTTGGGGACGTTCTAGTAATCTTGGCCGTCAATTGTAGGTTTAGTGGGTCCTACATTTTTTTCCAACTTTTTTGGCCGTCAATTTTAGATTTAGTGGTCCTACTAGTTTTTGCAATTGGGGTTACCCCACTCAAATATTTTAAGAAAAATTAAGGTAATTTTATTTTTTAATAAGTAAATAAAATGATTATTTTATATGAACTGTATTTATAGATATTTTAATTTATTTAACTAAAATAAGAGTGTTATCATCATTTTATATCATATAAGGACTAATTTACACCAAATAGATAATATAAAAATTAGGAAGATTTTTTATCACACCAGAATAGTTTTGCACAATAAAGTAATTTTTTTACACTCAACCCTTTATTTATCGAATATAAACTATATAATAAGCAATCTATTACTACCTTTTTAAATTGATCTAAAAGTTAGCACGCCTGCCTCACCTACATACATATAATATATATATATATATATATACACACACACATACATATATATATATATATAACCATCTCTGCGTTAGACCCCAAAACCCTAGAAAGCTCCAACAATGGCGCTCACCTCATCGTCCACTCTCATGAACCTCCTCTCTCCAAGTGTTGCCGCTCCTGTCTCGGTGGCTATCATGAAACTCCTCACTCCAAGGATCGCCGCTGCTCTTTCAGTTCGTTCCTTTAACACCGCCGTTCCTCTGACGAACGGTCCATATTCATTCTCCAATAATCGTCACGACTCCAAACAGTGTCCTCATGGCGAAGGTAACAAAAAACAAATCACTCAATTTTCGTATATATATATATATATATATTTTGTCATGATGATTTTATTAATTGTTCAGATTGTACGTACGTGAATCGATTTCTGAAAGAAGGGTCATCGATCCCCTACAAGGTGATTAAGCACACGGAAGGGCTGTATGCAAGGTTGGACATGCCGGGAATCGGAAAAGAAGGGCTGAAACTGTGGATTGAAGACAACTCTCTCCATATCAATGGAGAGGAAATGGCGGGAAGTGGTTCACCGAGGAAGTACTACGGCAACATCAACCTCCCTCATGGATGCTACCGGGTGGAAGAGATTTCAGCGGAGCTCAAGAATGGTGTGCTCAGGGTCAAGATTCCCAAGATAAAGGAAGAAATTGATGTTAGGGTGAATTGTTCATCTTGTAGAAGAATCCACTTAATTGATGTTTTGCCCTTATTAATTCTTGCCCATCTTGCACTAAAATGACCAGAACAATTATAATAGTGCGTAATTACCCAAAAAAAAAATCAATAATAATAGTGCATTTTCGGCTTTATTTAAGCCATAGCTTTAAATCCATCCGACAATTTCTCCCCTTTTTAGGGTTTAGGTCAAAGTCAGAGTGAAAAATGTGTAATTGAATTCACTTATGGTGTTCCTGTTTTAATGTTCTTGGTGGTTTGATAATTGATGTGATTTCTATACCTTGGATGGCATGAATTTTTATATTTATATTTATTTATATTTTTTTTGGAAGGTGGGAGACCTTTCACAAAGAGAAATGATAAATTTGATGATTTTAAAGTCAAGTTAATTTGTAAGTGACGGATAGTGATATCTCATTATTTCATAAATTTTACATTACAGGACTCAAAACTCCTAAGGAGTGGTCCTCATTATTTCATAAATTGCTCACTACAGGACTCAAACTCTAAAGAAATTAATGTTGATATGGGTTATTTATGAAAGTGTATTTTGGATCTTCAGTATATTCTTCATGTTATTGTGTTGTGTGTTAGTAAATTAAGTCTATCTTTTTAGCGTATTAATTGGAAGTTGACTCAATAAAAATATATAGTTGGATAATTCATGATTAATCCGATATCCCTGAAAAAGTGGACAGGGTCCTTCAAAAGCTTACAAATATGGACCCATGCAAGTGAAAAGATTATATAATAGCTTGGATGGATAAATGGAGAACCAATTTGACTGAAATTCATTCATTTGCAGAATTTAACCTATTCACCAATTTACTATTTCTAATTGTGACAATTTTAAAATAGTATTTTTTTTTTTTTTTTAATTTTATATACACCTATGTAATCTAGTCATTTTCCTTAATTGGATTAGTCGAGTTCATTTTTTTCCCCACAGTATATTTTTCACCACCATCACCTGTGAGGCACCGTTTGGTTAAGTTGAAAGTATCAAGAAAAGAAAAGAAATCAAATATTTTTCAATACTTTTGAGTAGTGATATTCATACCTAATATTTGTAGTGAATTGTTTAATTGAATAATTTTTAATTGATTATTTATATCAAATATAATAAAATAGAGGGTTCAACTTCCTTATTTGTTGCTTAATTAACTAATTAATAAACTAGGTTTAATAATTCACTGCATCTATTTAGTGGTGTAAGAATTATTTTCCTAAAAAAATTTCACAAAAAATTACACATGAAAACTAATTTATGGAGAAAGCTCTATGAACTCAAATTTAATGCACTATCCTTTCCTTCGCGACACGTTTTTTTCTCTCTTACTTTACACTATGCCTAAAATTTAGGCTATTAATTTCCGGTACACTTATTCTCATATTTTCCTCCCATGCAAATGCAACTATTTTTAGTAATAAAATCTTAACAATTAAAGTGAGAAATTCAACATTTAAAGTGTCAGAAATTTAAACTACAAACGAGGTTGATAAAATTCGTACGGTAAAGTACCTCGAATAGGAGAGGATTTGAAATGACAATTCCATCCCCAGTAATCACATTGAGACTCCCAAGTTGCCCGACCTGTTTGAACCATCAACCACTTCAATTTCTTTTGCTGTCAACTTCAGTAACTTGTACGTAATATAGAACTCTAATTCATAAATATAATTAGTGTAAAAAATCCTCTCTTACTATAATACGAAACAATCCTGTGTGATATAAAATTCCTCTATTATCTACTTTGTTAGCATAAAAAGACATTAATACCATCTTTAATATAAATTTTTGAGTTAAATGCAAAAAAAAAACTCTAATATATAGAATTTATGCAAAAATAGTCCATACTTTTTAAAAATGTGCATTTCAGTACATAAAATTTAAAAAAAGGTACAAATAAGCCCCTTAATCCATTTTTGATCAAAATTGACATAAAATAAATTCAAAAATCCTATAATTTTCTTCATAATTATTTATTACAACCAAATATCAAAAAACTATTTTTACAAAAATATTATACATCTAAACAAAGGGAGCCTCAATCTCTCTTGTGATAGCAAGTTCAATATTAATGTTGATAATACTATCTCCTGTTTTTAAATAATAAAAAAAAAATTAGGTTATTTTTATTAAGTATATATTTGTATAAACCAACCCAAATCTAAATCGAGTGCAACCCAAGACATGATAAAGATAAATTCAATCAGGCTGTTGGCACAGTTTTGGAATTTAAGGTTTCAATCTGGGATTGTCTTATCTTAATTTCGGTATACTTGGAAAGAAAATGAATGCTAGTTACGAATAAGGACATTTTGCATTTCCTTTAAAATTGGCATATTTCATTACTGTAGGATAACCTTCGGTCAGCATGCATCCCACAGTGCGTCATCTCTCACCCAATACAAGGGGAAAAAAAAAGGAAAAAAGAAAAGAATAAATTGTCTAAAATGGTAATTTTACATTGCCTAATTTTTTTAATATTATTTCATTTATATTAGAGAGGGTATTAATATTTTTTTATGCGAACAAGGTTAATTGCACCAAAATGATAGTATTAGGGGGTTTTATACTACAGGGATTGTTTTGCACTATATCGATAGTGGAGGGGTTTTTTGCACTTAATCCAAGGGTAAAATAGAGTTTTTAAATTTATTTTATGTTGATTTTAACCAAAAAGTGATCAAAGAGACTTATGTACACTTTTTTTGAATTTTATGAACATTCTCAAAAAATAGAAACTATTTCTCCAGAATCCCTATATATCATAATTATTTTTTGCGCTTAACTCTATAATAAAATTTAAAGATACCAAGTCTCATTAGATCCAAAATTCATTGCCACAGTAATTCGTAACTTATGCAACCACCTTGTTTTACCAAATATAATCATTAATCACCCACCTCAGATACCTTACTTGATGAAGAAGGAATCAAAAACCCTCTCCTTCAACTAAAAACCCAAGCTCCGATAATGGCGTTTTCATCATCAAGAGCTCTCACCAGAGCCCACACTCTCATGAAGCTTCTCTCCCCAAGGGTTGTGACTCCATCCTCCGTTCGTTCCCTCAGCTCCGGAATTCCAACGAATGGTTCACATTCAGAAGTCGATTTCCACTCCAAACAGTGTGCTAACGGCGAAGGTAACAAAAACAGAGCACTCAATTGTTTCTTAGTATGTTTTTGATTTGGTATGACGATTTTAATTTAATTTCTATTGCTCGAAACTGACATAAATTGTGAGGTATTTTTAGGGTTTAGATTGCAATTTTTGTTCAATTTTCCTACTCCAAAAAAAGTAAAATAAATTATCTGATGTTGCGGAGGTTTTATGTGTTGAATAGCACTGTTCTTGTGGATAATTTTAGAAAATTTAAGATACAAAAATTCCAATTTTAAAAAAATAATAATAATAAAAAAAACCAATTACTTAAATTGTACCCTAACAATTTAACATACCTAAATTCTACGGGCTTCAATTTCAAGACACCACTAGCTACCAGACATATCAATAATTGTTTTCTCTTCTGTTTCGATGATTCTATAAATTTGTTGTCGAGTTGTTCAGCTTGTTTGTTGGGGGCACACATCAATTTGAGAGCAATAAGGAGAAGAAACATAAAAAATACTGAGTTGAATAGCACTGCTCTTGTGAATAATTTTTGGGTATGCAAAGCTGACATAGTGAATTTTAATTCCAAATAAAACTACCAAAACTTAAATTTTATAGGAGCTATAGAAATAACGAGTACTTTCACCTAGTTCCATGTATATTATTAAACAGACACAGTACTATTTACCGGGAAAAAAAAAAAAAGAAAAAAAAAAAAGACACATAGTACTTGCTAATTTTCCCATGTGATAGCTTTTATAAGTTGTGGTGATGAGTTGTTCAGTTTGTATATATGCTGGTGAATGGATTTATTATATGTGTGTGTGTGTGTGTGTGTGTGTGTGTGTGTGTATTATATATATAAATTGTATAGGAGTAACAGAAACAATGAATACTTTCAACCACCAACTCTATGTATACTACTAGCAAACATAGTAATAAATAATTTTAATTTTCCATGTGTTTGGATGCTTTTATAATCTGTGATGGTCTTGTTCAGCTTGTTCACTGGTGAATCGATTTCTGAAAGAAGGGTCGTCCATCCCCCACAAGGTGATGAAGCATGAAAAAGCATTGTATGTGAGGTTGGACATGCCGGGAATCCGACAAGAAGGGCTGAAGCTATGGGTTGAAGGCAACTTTCTCCATGTGAATGGAGAGGAACAGGTGGAAAAGGGGTATTGGGGGAAGCATTACCCGAGGAGGAAGTACTACGGCAAAATTGAAATCCCTCAGGACTGCTACAAGGTGGAAGAGAGGACGATGGAGTTCAAGCATGGTGTACTGAAGATCAAGATTCCAAAGAGAGTGCACATTGTCAATGTCAAGGTGAAATGTCCGTGTCCTGATGAAACACCTAAAAATAAAACCGGTGATGATCCCTTTCTTGATAATTATGATGTATTATTAGTTAGTTTTATGTTTCTATTTTTATTGAATTTGCCAAGTAGATGAGTTTTCTGTTTATTTGTCTGCGCGATTACATCTTTATTTTTTCAGAACACAAATTTCATATATTATAATTTTTTTTCCTTTTCCATTCATATACATCTTCATTTATTAAAAAAAAAAAAAATTGTCAAAGTGAAATGAGTTTTTGGGGCTGCCTATTGGTGATTAAACTTGATTCTAATTAAGAGTCATTGGATTAACCATAAATGTATTAAAACCTATGTATACATTCACCTACTTAAATAGTTTCATCTTTTATGACCAATACAAGTACACTCTTAGTATATTTGTTCCTAAGTGAGTTACTAAAGTGGAATGCAAGATTTCAAAGTGAATGTTCGGCTTAACTTCTTTTAAAAAATGTGTCTATCTAGTACCCTCTTATTTTTAACAATGTATTAAAGCAAAAATATTTTTAACAATGCATTAAAGCAAAAAATACAACGCCGTTGACGATGGTGTAATGGAACTTTCTCTTGGTTTTCTCTATA